GTGATGAGCAGGGTTAAAGACAGGTGATCAGCAGGGAAAGAGCAGGGTTACAGACAGGTGATCAGCAGGGAAAGAGCAGGGTTACAGACAGGTGATCAGCAGGGAAAGAGCAGGGTTACAGACAGGCGATCTCTAGGGAATGAGCAGGGTTACAGACAGGCGATCAGCAGGGAATGAGCAGGGTCGCAGACAGGCGATCAGCAGGGAATGAGCAGGGTCGCAGACAGGCGATCAGCAGGGAATGATCAGGGTTACAGACAGGCGATCAGCAGGGAATGAGCAGGGTTACAGACAGGCGATCAGCAGGGAATGATCAGGGTTACAGGCAGGCGATCAGCAGGGAATGAGTAGGGTAACAGACAGGCGATCAGCAGGGAATGAGCAGGGTTACAGACAGGCGATCACTAGGGAATGAGCAGGGTTACAGAAAGGTGATCACCAGGGAATGAGCAGGGTTACAGACAGGCGATCAGCAGGGAATAAGCAGGGTTGCAGACAGGCAATCAGCAGGAAATGAGCAGGGTTGCAGACAGGCGATCAGCAGGGAATGAGCAGGGTCGCAGATAGGCGATCAGCAGGGAATGAGCAGGGTTACAGACAGGTGATCAGCAGGGAATGAGCAGGGTTATAGACAGGGAGGTAGTGGTCCAGGTAGGCTGGCCTACCTGTGCTTGTTCTCACGAAGAATCTCATAGACGGAGATGTGCAGAGTGCGGTTGCTCCGGTGTCCCAGGCTCAGCGTCTTGTAGATGCGGAATTCTGCAGCCGTCACAGTCTCGCCCTGCGGCAGGGGCGTCAGGTCAAAGCGGAATTCCTTCCAGTAGGGACGTGGTTGCAGCAGGTCGCGCTCTTGCTCCACTGAAATAGGCCGAGAACAGGGGGCATCCTACTCACTGGCCAATCAGGTAACACCCCCTTTATGCAAATTATTAGATATTTGCGGCTAGCACAGGGAAACAGGAAGTTTAGGTGAAAGCATAGATGTTACCAGGGAATGTGTTGTACTGATATATATTGGGATAGTGTTGAATAAATCACTCTTGCCATCATTTTGACAAAAGTTGCAACTTACGAGGCGAGGCATGTGATACATGGACAGAGAGGCAGGTGAAGATCTAGTGGAGTGGAGTGGGAGACAGGAAGTGAAGGAGACACAGAGCTGGCAAGGACAGAGCGACAGAGGGGAAGGACGAAGGTGTGGAAGGCAGGAAGGGAGGATCATGTCCTTGTCCGGCCCGGAGGAGCAGGGCAGCACCGCGGCCGAGCCTGCAGAGTGATTACAGGCCCCTGTGGGACCACGACCGCAGCCACAGCAGCTGCTGAGCGCTGCCCCGCTAATTACAGGGCAGTGGCTATTTTTAGAGCCACTGCCAGCATTATTTTCATCTCATTCTCTCATCTCTCTTCTTTCCAGCTTCTGTGGGGCCTGTAATTCTGCACAGCTGCATTTGTCCCCTGCCGCATCACCCACTGCGTGCGTGTGTGTGTGTGTGTGTGTGTGTGTGTGTGTGTGTGTGTGTGTGAGTACAACAGGTTTTTTTGGTCTGTATATGTAGATGCACACTGCATGCATGTAGGATACATTTAGTGTTTCGCCTCTGGATATATTTTGATTTATTTATGTGTTGATAATATCCAGCTTGATGCCCTAGTTGGCTGCGTATGTGCAGTAGCTGTGTGTGTGTGTGCGTGTGTGTGTGTGTGTGTGTATGTCTACACATGTGGGAGTGTTTCATTAGACTATAATTGTTGCTGGGAGAGGAGATGCTCCCAAAATGATTTCCATGTTTGATTCCATATTTACTTTCTTCCATTACTTCATGTTGCTATCCTGAATCTCCTCTATCAATTTAACTTACAAAATATCATTTTAAATTTTATACTATAAAATGAATAGCTTATGTAGTAATTATACTAAAGCTAAACGCAATGAGGTAGGTACTTGCTTATTAGTTCTGTGGCCTGTTCCCATTCATCAGGAAAATATTTACAGGATGTCAGACGGGAAGAGGCATTAAGTGGCCGCTGGGAATCAGGAGGGTGAGCCACTGGCATCATCACATTAACGGCTGTGGTCATAATCACCACCACACTCCACACACAGTTTTTTGGAAGAAAATACAGCTGGATGATCAGTAAACACCGCAAGTTTTAAAGCAACATTAAGAATCACACATCAGTTATGTTTGGTTTTTTCCGCTTACACATCCTGTTTGTTTATCCCAGCCCATGCCTTTCTGCCAACCAGATCACCGCTTCCTGCTCACATTTAGGTAGACAGACAAGGAAGGAAAGCTTCACTGCGATAATGTTGCCATGGGGAGCATACAGAGAGGACAAACGGGGAGGGAACAAGGAGGCGACACATGGAGAGGGGACAGGGAGGCGACACATGGAGAGGGGACATGGAGGCGACACATGAGGAGGGGACAAGGAGGAGACACATGGAGACTGGACAAGGAGGCAACACACGGAAAGGGGACAGGGAGGCGACACACGGAGAGGGGACAGGGAGGCGACACACGGAAAGGGGACAGGGAGGCGACACACGGAGAGGGGACAGGGAGGCGACACACGGAGAGGGGACAGGGAGGCGACACATGGAGAGGGGACAGGGAGGCGACATATGGAGAGGGGACAGGGAGGCGACACATGAGGAGGGGACAAGGAGGCGACACATGAGGAGGGGACAAGGAGGCGACACATGGAGACTGGACAAGGAGGCGACACATGGAAAGGGGACAGGGAGGCGACACATGGAGACTGGACAAGGAGGCGACACATGGAAAGGGGACAGGGAGGCGACACATGGAGAGGGGACAGGGAGGCGACACATGGAGAGGGGACAGGGAGGCGACACATGAGGAGGGGACAAGGAGGCGACACATGGAGAGGGGACAGGGAGGCGACACATGGAGAGGGGACAGGGAGGCGACACATGGAGAGGGGACAAGGAGGCGACACATGAGGAGAGGACAAGGAGGCGACACATGGAGAGGACAAAGGAAGAGGGTGCACTAAGGGATACACAGAAAGGGCACACAGAGGTCCTACCAGCTTTCAAGTGTGGCATGGACAATATGACATTGTCTGTTTAAACAGCTCAAAGCAAATGACAAGTTTAGAAGATCAGTGTGTGGGAAAACGCGACCACGACTTTGTATACTGCCAAAGTTGGAAACTGGTGTAATTATCATTGGCAAATGGAGAATGATGGCAGAGAGGTTATGCCAGTCTGGGAAAAGGAAGAGGAAGAAGCGCCATGCAGAGAGAGAGGTGTCGATACCAGCACCAGGCTGAGAGACAGGTGTGGGTACCAGCACTGGGTGGACAGACAGGTGAGGATACCAGGGCTGGGCTGAGAGACAGACGTGGATGCAAGCACTGGGCAGAGAGACAAGTGTGGATACAAGCACTGGGTTGAGAGACAGGAGTGAATACAAGCGCTGGGCAGAGAGACAGGTGTGGATACAAGCACTGGGCAGAGAGACAGGTGTGGATACAAGCACTGGGTTGAGAGACAGGAGTGAATACAAGCGCTGGGCAGAGAGACAGGTGTGGATACAAGCACTGGGCAGAGAGACAGGTGTGGATACAAGCACTGGGTTGAGAGACAGGAGTGAATACAAGCGTGTGGATACCAGCGCCAGGCAGAGCACAAGTGTGGGAATGGATTCAGCAGCATGCTGGAATGTGGGCATCACAGATCTCACCAGTAATACCTAATAGGATGTCCAAGAATAATCCATATTCCAGTACTAACTCTGGAACCAGTACAGTTGCCTCATGCCTCCTGATACCTCTGTGAGTATGGAGTCTGTATGTTCTCCCCGTGTCTTGTTGGCCTTCTCCTGCAGTTACACAGGCTACTTGGCACCTCTAAAGCTGGTATTGTGTTTGGAACAGATATATTGGAGTTCCATTGAGACAATTCCTCTACCCTGCACCCCCCGCCCCCCACCGGGATAATCGGAAGGAAGAGGGATGCATGTCACTAAGATGCATATCCTCCTAGGATGTGATATATCAAGGTCAACACAGTACACTTTTCTGACTGCCATCTTTAAAGCGACCACATGGACACATGTACTGTAAAGTGTCCTGAAGTCTGCTACCTGCTGCAGACTGTGACACACTTACAGTTGCACTTTTGCTGGCTGTCACTCACCCACGTTGACGAAGCTCATGACTGTGTCGGCCTCGCTGACCACGGTGCCGAGAGGCGGCACGTGCGTGCTGAGTGTGGGCAGTGTGCCGTAGCTGACGCGCTCAGGCCTGAATTTCGGCACTGGGGCGTCGTCGTCATCTCCCTCGCTGGACACGGCACGGTACAGGTCCAGCATGAAGAGCGGCGCCGACGAGGGCGGGCGCAGTGGCGGGTGGGGGCGCGGCCGGCCCGGCAGCCCCAAGATGGACAGGATCTCCCGCTGCATCTCCTTTCGCTCACGCACGCTGAGGCGCCGCTGCAGGAAGCTGGAGTGCAGCGCCCCCTCCAGGCGAGGCGGCAGCAGGAGTAGTAGCAGCAGGACTGGGAGCATCCAGCGATGGAGTTTCGGGCAAGCATGCATGGAGGCCCCACCCAGACCCTCGGCAGCATCCAACACCCCCTGTCCCATCGTTCCATCCCTCCTCGCCTGCGGACACCGGCGAAGTCCTCTGTGTTCGCTGGTGAACCTTCCCATTCCCGGTGTGCTCCTCAGCCACTCTCAGTGCGAGTCCGTGTGTGTGTGTGTGTGTGTGTGTGTGTGCGCGTCGTCCCCTGCAATTCAAGGACTGTTTGCGGCAATCACAGCTGACGGGGCGCAGAGATAGAGGCAGTGTTTAGTCTCGTGGCCCTTTATCTGGCCTCCCCGCCCTTCCCCCCGACACACTGTTAATCTGCCCGCTCTGCTGTGATCCCAGGCTCAGGAGGAGACATTCGGGCACACAAACAGGACACACGGAGCCACCCACTAGAAGGTGGCGACCTTCAGGTTTTACACACGAGTTTTTTTAGATACAAAACAAGCTTTCCCACAATCTGAGGCCCGTTTTGGGCAAATGAGAATTTCTGCTACTGCAGAAATCGGCGGCTACGCCAGGGCCGTGGACCAGAGGACAGTCAGCTCTTTCTTCCGAGGCGTGCGTCACACCTGTGGTGCTTCCAGAGCCACAGTCACCTAGCAGCCAGGTTCTCTGGCAAAATACAGATGAAAAAGCACGTAGGATATGGCAGTGAGGGAAAAAAAAATTAAATTTTCCAACCTGTGTTTTTCCACTCAAGAAACTGCACTCCTTCTGGCTGGACGTCCCTGCCGAGGTCAGAGCCGGTGAAAGCTCAGGTCCTCTCTAGATACACGTGCTCCTCCGCAGCCTCTGCTCTCCTGTTCCTGTCAGCTCCACAGCCAGAGGGTGGAGGGGCAGCCACAGCACGGAGAGACGCCTGCTCCACGGAGGAGGGAGTCCAAGCCAGTCCTCTGTGCCCCAGCAATCACGCTAGTGTGGGCTTCGCCTCAGCCGCGGCCGTGTACCACAAAGAGGGCGTGTCACGCCTCAGCCCCGCCCCTCCTCCTATCCATTTAGCTCTGGCTCCCATCTGGGGTGACTTACACGGCCATGGTGGCTAATTACTATATGTACGATTACACTGTGGCCAGGGCCATGGAACCAGCAGCATCGCCGCTAATTACCAGCAGAGTGCGTCAGGGAGGCAGCGTGTGTGTGTGTGTGTGTGTGTGGGAGGGGGGTTACATTTAATTCATTTAGTAGATTCTTATCCAAAGCAACATCGTTTTTATTTTATTTTTTTGAGAAAGCAGGGCCAAACATTTTCTGGAGAAGTTGGAAGTTAAGGGCCTTGCTCAGAAGTCCAACAGTGAAATCACTCTGCAAACCCTGAGATTTGATCCAGCAACCTTCTGAACACAATGAGACACACACCACCGCAGGGACAACAGATGAAACAGACTCGGCAGCATGTTAAAGTAGCACGATGCCCACTGTGATGTTAAGCATTGAGAGTCAATCCCTGAACACTCATGGACAGTGTCTACCCGCCAACCTCCCAGCACCACGTCTGACTGCCTCCTCCCTAGACCAGACAATCCCAGTCCAAATGAGCTCATCACACCCTGTCAGAGGAAAAGCCAATCGAGCCACAGGATAGCAGCACTTTCTGATCTATCAACGTTCCCGGAGACTAAACTGACACTGACAAAATTACTCAGCCACTCTGCCCTAACCCCTAACTGTAAGGGGTAGCACTGATGTTATATGTGAAGGCTTGGCTGTCAGTCTCCATTCTAGTTCATCCAAAAGATGTTCACTAGGGTTGAGGTCAGGGCTCTGTGTGGGCCAATCAAGTTCTTCCACACCAATCTCACCCAACCATGTCTTTACAGACCTTGCTTTGTGCACTGGGGCACAGTCATGCTGGAACAGCAAAGGGCCTTCCCCAAACTGTTCCCACAAAGTTGGAAGCATAGAATTATCCCTAAAAAATAACCTCATACCATTATCCCTCCTACATCAAACTTTACAGTTGGCACAATGCAGTCAGGCAGGTAGCGTTCTCCTGGCATCCACCAAACCCAGACTCATCCATCAGAATGCCAGGGAGAGAAGCGTGGTTCATCACTCCCCAAAACACGTCTCCACTGCTCCAGGATCCAGTGGCAGTGTGCTTTACACCACTCCTTCTGATGCTCGGCCATGGAAGCCCATTCCATGAAGTTCCCGGCATACAGTTTGTGTGCTGGGGTTAATGCCAGAGGAAGTTTGGAAGTCTGCAGTTACTGAGTCAGCTGAGCCTTGGTGACTTTTACTCAATATGCGCCTCAGCATTCGGTGACCCCACTGTGTTACTTTACATGGTCTGACACTTTGTGGCTGAATTTCTGTTGTTTCTGGAAGCTTCCACTTTGCAATAATACTAGTGCTGTCAAACGATTAAAATTTTTATCAGATTAATCACAGGGTTGCTGTGGATTAATTTCGATTAATCACGATTAAATGTCATTCATTTTTAATCTATATTAATCACATTTCATTTTGTATGAGCAAACAGACTCAAGAAAAAAGGGAATACATATGCACTTAACATGTTTATTGAATGTCTTGAACAAAAGTTGGATGCATTCCATCTGCTACAGAAGTGCAATACCATCCATCCATTGTCCAACCTGCTTATCCTCCTGGGTTGTGGGGGGTCTGGAGCCTACCCTGGAAGCAATGGGCATGAGGCAGGGAACAACCCTGGATGGGGGGCCAGCCCATTGCAGGGCACACTCACACACCATTCACTCACACATGCACACCTAAAGGCAATTTAGCAATGCCAATTAACCTCAGCATGTCTTTGGACTGTGGGGGGAAACCAGAGTACCTGGAGGAAACCCCACGACGACATGGGGAGAACATGCAAACTCCACACACATGTGACCCAGGCAGAGGCTCGAACACAAGTCCCAGAGGTGCGAGGCAACAGTGCTATCTTCGTTCACTTACAATTAGCCCGAACTACCATAAATCCGACAAATAATCCGACTAATCATGAAATCCAATTCTAGCCTGGTTAATTGCCATTGTTAGCAATATCAGTTGATAACACATTACGCACAGTACTTTACAAATAAAACTCCATAGCAACACGTCCACAGATAAGTTGGACGGTATAGTGTGTGTGACCGATTTAATGAGCCACAAATGAGAAGTAGTGCTTAAACAGTATAAAACTACAACTTTCCCTGCTGTTGATAGAAGGCGCAGCATCTCGGATTCTGAACTCAGGATCCTCTGTGCTGCTCCGAGATATTTCTCAGATCTCCGAGAAACGGGAGCGCGCATGTCATCACTTCCGGCTTCAAAACTCGGAATCCGACTTCCCAGGGCAAATGGAATTAACCAAAACTGCCTGAAATGGGTTGACGGAGACATTTCTGGGATTTTGAGTCATTCTGCGCTGCAGATGGGTTAATTGCGTTAAAAAAATTAATCAGATTAATCATGATGTTGGATTAATCCACGTTAACCCGTTAATTTTGACAGCCCTAAATAATAAGTTGACCATGGAATATCTAGGAGGGAAGAAATTTTAGAAACTGACTTATTGCAAAGGTGGCATCCTGTGACAGTACCATGAATTCACTGAGCTCTTCAGAACGACCCATTCATTCACAAATGTTTGTAAACCTGACTGCATGGCTTGGTGTTTGATTGTATACAGCTGTGGGTTTGAATGAAACACCTGAAGTCGTTGATTAAGAGGTGTGCCCCAATACTTTCGTCCATATAGTGTATATTGTATATATAGAATTTGCAGCATGGCAGCACTGTGTACCAAAGTGGTTTGCTTTTAGAAAATGCTTCACTTGCTTTCTGCCCCCTGGGATGCAGGAACAGGGGAGAAGTGGTTCTGCCAGTTGACCTTGAGGAGGAACGCGCAGGGCCCAGGCACAGAGTGGGGTTTCCTCCAAAACAGCAGAAAGGGTGAGAGCCATTTGCTCTGTTCTGTGTCTGGTCTCCTGCTGTACGGCCAAGGGAGGGGCCGTTGGGGCCGACCCGCATTCCTCCGCGGATCATGCTGTGCCCTGGACGTCCACGCTGGACAGGAAGTGAGCCAGTCGCCACCAGCTATGGCAAAACCCCAGAGAACAAACATCTCGGATATTTGTGTACAAACGTGCACAGACAGCTGCAGAGTGTGGACAACAAACAGCAACCTGGCCAAACCCCATCCGCTCCACAATGACCACAACACACACACACACACACACGCACACACACAGGCACACACAGGCACACACACAGGCACACACACACACACACACACGCACACATACAGCCCTGTACTCATATCTTTGAGGGGACCGTCCATTCATTTCTAAGGGCAAAACCCTAATCCCAACAATGACACCCCTATCCAGTCCTAAACTAAACCAGAAGTAACCAAACAAGACAATAGACTTCTGGCATTTTTAGGTTTTTAGAGCTACATTTGGTCCCCAAAATGTAATGTATACATGTGCGCAAGCACACGCACACAAACATAAACAAAGAAACATGGACCCCCAAAATTACCTTGGGTGTGTTCTTATTATGTCTGCTAATTGCCCTGCTACTCATTAAAACACCATTTCCTGTGTAGCCTGCAATGTTGAAGACACACTGGCAGACAGACAGACACTCACACAAACACACACAGACAGACAATCAAGCACTATCCTACAGCACCTAGCAGGATAACACCCCATGGAACAGATTTGAGTGCAGACATTATTTTACTGCAAGCAATATTTTAATACAAAAAGAGAACAAGAAAAATGTTTATAATCTTAACTTATTCCTTTACATGGTTTGCTCACACCACCCCTTCCATTTCCTCTGTAACACACTGAGCAAAACACAGCGTCAAGGGGGGGTACAACTCACCCCCACCCCCTCCACATCATAAATAAATAAAAATCACTCCAGGCTTTCACTTGATTTCATCAGAAATTGATATTCTGTAGAATTCGCATAGAGAAACAGGAGCATGCCGACTCCTGCTCACGGGGGTGACGACTGAAAGCTCCAAAGAGACGAAAATAAGGAGGGAGGGAGAGCTGGTGACTGAGGGGGCGGAGTTAAACATGTTGACTCCGCCCACCAGCAATCAGTCAATTGTGTAGCGTTTGTATCTACTCCATAAGTAAAGCCCCCTCCTGACATGACCTGAGGGCAGTCAGAGACAGCCAATGGAATCAGTCAGTTTTCCTGGTCAGTAATCTCTCACATAAGAAAGGTTTAAGAGAAGCGAAGACTCATTAAAAAAAAAAAAAAAAAAAAAAAAAATCGATCTTAACACTGATTAATTTTCAGAAGGCGATATTATACCAAACTGTAAAATAAATACAATTTCCTTAAACTAGAAAATTTAACAAAAGATAACAGGATTTTAAATTAACCAAGAAAAAAAATTCACGATTTTTAGTTTTGCATACGGTGACAAAATAACCTTGTATTTCCTTAAACACATGATGCTTGAGCAGAATTAAAACACAAAGACGTTCACGTGGACAGACAGACGCCCTACAGGGTTATGAGGACGTACAGCGCTACAGACGGTCAGTGCACGCTCGCCAAACTCTCGCCTGGAAGGCTCATCAGCTTCACGCGAGGACTTCAGGTCACTGGGCGTTCTCTGCATTTGTGGTGGAGGTGTCACAGCAAACGCAGCCCGGGCAGTGCTACCCTGTGGTCAGAGCAGTGTCCCGCAATGTCACACCTGACACCTGCGTATGAGGAACCAGCTTCCTGGTCCACGCTCCTCTTCCTGCAGGTGGCGCCCTTACAGTGGTGAGAGACATGTACATCTCCACTGAATCCCACCGATTTGAAATAAAGAAAAAAAAAAAGAATCATGACCCACAGACTGCCAGTTAAAAGGCAGTCATGAGGACTTGCATTGTGTCTGTTCTCTCCCAAAGTGAGAAACCCCATCCAACACAATCAGCATTACAACACAGCCACACGCACGCACACATGCACACAAACGGAGGCCAGGGAGGGTGTGCGGCCTGCAGGGGGCAGAATGGGGCCGAGAAGGCATTTCACCACTGCTGCTCAGTGTGCTTCAGATACAGTCGCTACTTAGTTGCTCATTCCTGTAACGACAAAAAATCCCAGCAGGGAAGGTCTGCATTTGTCTGTCAGTGTCCTGCCCCCTGCTGGTAAGAGCATGCCGGTCCCCGAGTAAAGCCGGCCCAAACCCGGAGACCGGGTCCACACGGCCCACACAGGCCACACTCAATTCAGCCAGCAGTCCAGCCTCTCCCGTCCCGGATGACGCCCCCTGTGTGGGCCAAGGGCCGCCTAACATCAGGTGAGGTTAAAAACTAAACACAAATTAGGCAGCATCACGCCGATCACTGTTAGCTAGCACTGCTTCAGGCGAGGTCTGGGGGCAGCAGTGGCTGTTTGCTGGAGACCAGTGCAGGCTAGAAAACTGGAAGGAAGGACAGAGTCTGCGGCAGAGAAGCCAAGCCGGGCTCTTTGTCTGGGAATTTCTGCACATTCTGCAGCCGCTCAGGCTCTCCTCAGAGGTGTGGATACCAGTGTGCACTTTACATGTGTGCGTGCGTGTGGGTGTGTAACTGCGTGAGACACATGCCTCACCACTACAGCCATTTTTGCAGCACGTGCCGCTTGCTGTCAGTGCCCCCTGCTGGTGTGGAGGTTTATTTTTTTCACTTTTTTTTTTTTGTTATTTTTCTCTCATTTCTTGCCAGTGGGTGTCTTCTTGGACATGGTGGGTATCTTAGAGGGCTTGGCTCCGGGCCGCCGCGGCGTGTCCGACGTGTCCGAACAGGCGGAGCGCGTCTCCAGCAGCTCCGAGGCGTCCGACGCGTCGCTCCCACGCCGGCTGCTCGCGCGGCTGCCCGCTCGGCTCGCCGGCCCACTCGCAGACGACGTTGTCCGCTTCGTGTCTGAGAGGGAGACGGGAAAGATAAAGCCGCAATGACATAACAGCTTGGAGACAAAGTGTCTGAGAAGGAGAGCAGCCCCCGGCAGGCTGGCTGGGGGCGGCAGCTGATTTTACATTAAGTTAGCGTGCCAGTAAAGCGCCCTGATGTTTACGTTCAGGTGGTACAAACATTAGCATGACAACTGGCACGAAAACACCAATCTGAATGTGACTATGATCACTCCGGAGCTGTTCCGGGGGGCCGGGACTCACCGGTGCGGGCAGGCTTAGTGGCGCTTGTCCCAGCCTGTCCCCCGTTCTCCCCACTCAGGGAACCTCGACTGGAGTGGAAAGTCGGCCTCTTCAGCTTGGAATTCGCTGCCCCCTGCAGGAAATGAGAGGGAACCGCAGTTCACAGCACTGCACTGGGACTGAAAGTTCCCCAAATATATTTTGTGCCAGTCTGACAATTCTGGCAGCACTGCGTATCACCACCCATTGTTAGCTTCCACTAAATCTCCCCCACTGCGTTATCACCCACTGCAACACCACGCCCATTCTCTCCCGTTCACCCCGTCACAGTTGCTAGTGGCCTGCAAATTAATCTTAAGTGATATTTTTTTGAATCTTTGAATGTATGTGTCAATCATCAAAAAAAAAAACATTACTACTAGTTCCAAGAAAACTAATTGAGTGATTGCTGTGAAAATTAAATGAACTATCAGTGAATTATCAGTGTGTGCAAATGAATACCAAATGGATCTTCCTTGTGTGTCAGTCAGTATCTCTGTACCAAAGTGTGCTACTACAATCAATATCCAGGTGTAACGTAGGTGAATGTGACACAGTTTTTCACTGAGTGTGACGGAGCATCAGAGGCCAAAATGAGCCGAGTGTGTGTCCGACAGTGCATGCGTGTGCATCAGTGTGTTACCTCCGGCTTGGGGGTCGGGCTGTGCTCTGGGCAGGACTGGCACTGCGCTGGAGTTTTACTGAAAGCCTGCCAGGGCTTGGCAGAGCTACGGGAGTGAGCGTGGGTGGGCTGTGGAAGGCCAGCGTGAAGGAGGCAGGGGGGATCATTAAAGGGGAGGAGCCAGGAGGATGGGGGAGGAGCCAGGGAGGGCCCACAGATTGGGGGGAGAGGCACGGCCAATCAGTTTTATAGTTGAGGGTGAAGTCAGAGGAGGCGCCAAATAAGGTATGAGGCAACGGTGAGGGGGAGTATGAAGATATAATTGGGAGAGAGGAGTGTATGGAAGGAAGAGTGAGTGAGGCGGTGCGGGAGACAAGGAATTATGGGCGAAGGCATCCCACACAGTGTAGGAAGCAGAGCAGGAGGGGGGGGGCAGCAGAGCAGGAGGGGGGGGGCAGCAGGACACAGGAAAAAAAAACAAATCTACTGTTAAAAGACAATGTGATTCTTATCATGCAGGAACTGGAGAATAAGCTTCACACCAACTTACAGGTAAAACTAATCACAAAGATGGTCACAGACAGACAGACCGACAGACAGGAACAGCAACACTGCAAATGCTCTGGTAAATGGACAATCTGGACAACACATTAGCAGCTATCTCACTCCCCTGTCACACATTAGCAGCTATCTCACTCCCCTGTCACACATTAGCAGCTATCTCACTCCCCTGTCACACATTAGCAGC